TACTACTACTATTATTATTATTTATGAGTACATAAGCGTTAGCTTCGAGTACAAACAAGAACATAGAGAAGGGGAAAGTTCCTTATGTGTTAAAAAATACCGATGAAACCTCACACAAGCTTCAACATAAGTTAAGGACCACCTTGACAGACAGCCCTAGTTTGTTTTTTTAATCCGAAAAAAAAAGACAGCAAGGAATGTTTCAAATTTTTTTGCTCTGAAACTGAAAGTGTTAATGGGTTAAACAATGCGTACTGCAACGCTTCCTAAAGGGGCAAAACGATCACGTGCAGTACAGAAATCGTCAAGGAATTTTATTCAAATTTGCTGTTTTTTATCGACTTGTATACGGCATCATGGACATTCCTCAGTTCAAATCTCTGGCGCACGTGATAAACGGACGTGTGGTCTCGAGCTGTGCTCACTTTGGTGGCAATGATAAGCCGCCGTTCGCGCAAAATCCAGTATCGTATAACATGCCACCAAGACGAAAGCCGGGAGACTTTGATCGTGCCAGAGCTCATGGTGGAGTTGGAGCCCGAGAAGTTGCCTAAAGGCTTGCAGTGTCCCACTCTGTCATTATCCGCCTGAGGCAGTACCATCAAGTCACAAGAACGCCGACATGCAGGTCGACCCAAGAAGACCACTCAGAGAGAGAGGACCGATTTGTCCACATGGATGCCCTGCGACAGAGGACAACGACAGCTAGATTTATAAAATTCCGTTAGGCAGGAAATGGGATTGTTCACATCACTTCCCGCTTCTCATACACATTTCGTATACCAATGTCCTACGTCACAGCCCACTAATAATACTTTTTAGTTGCAAAACTTGTTGCTAGAAATATATTCTACAGTGAACACATCTTTAGTACTAAAGGTTCTCAAAACGAGCGTTCAGTAAGTATTATGTCGCGATTAGAAAAAGAAAAATGACAGACTTGCTTGTAAAAACGATATTGCCTCAGCTGTAAACCTTTTAAAATCTGTAGAAACCACCTACTTTTATTTTTAATCAGTTAAATTTATATAGGAATTTTTTAGAATACAGCTAGCGGGTGTTTACAAAAATGTTGATCTGTTAGGACAAATTGCTGCAAGTTTTTGTGCACAAGTGTGAGATCCTATGTCCCAGAGTTTAGGAAATATTTGGCAATAAGTTGGGCCACGAAGTTTTGACCACACTACAGGTGAACTGGTCGGGGTATGGCTGAATGTACAACGGCAGCTCGCAACCGTGAAGGATGGAGGGTCACTACACGTCAACCTCTGGGTCAGAGATGACGCCTCCAGGTATCCGGGTATTGGTGCTGTACGGTTGTGCGTGTAGCCTACTAGCCCTCCAAGTATCAATAACATTGGATATATTATTAATAGCTTGTGGCGTCAAGAGAAATGTGAGATGCGCTGACCAAACGAGTTACTTCTCACGATCCAAGAATGGAGATATCGGTTGAAAATTGACACTCGGGTCGGATTTATAGATTTTCAATTTATGTCAATTTGTTAAAGTTTACTGTGTCTTTTACTATTCCATGCTCACAAATTGTACAAACTTCACCTATCAAGTTGATGTATCAATTTCCATAAGGCTGAAATCCGAGAAGTCACTCATTTTGTCATCACACCTCACAAATTATTATGATGTCACCATATTTATTGTCAGGATGGGAAATAAATGCTTGAGAACAGGCAAATCAAGTAAATGAAGCCCATAAACCTACACATTTGATTTTAAAAAGTAGAATATAGTTTTAAAAATAGGAAGTAGAGCTAACTTGTGAAGGGGTTGAAAATAAAATGTTTGGCGACACTGAAAACCGGATGCACGAGCTGAGATAATGACTCATTAATTTATGGCCAGTTTATTCGGCTACCACTTCACAAAGTGAATCACACTGTCGTTTTAATCCGCTTTCGACTCTAAGATCGGAAGGAACGAAAGAAAAATACCCAGATATTTGCTTTAGACAGCTTGGTCGCAATATCAGTCCCTCGCACATTTTAGTTATATGACACTGCAAGACTAGTATTGGGGAGGAAAAAAACAACGATCCTGCATAAAAACTGTTGACAGCAGCTGCTCTGCCCTGGTTTCCAGTTTAAAAAAAAAAGATTCCAATATAAGGATTCGATACTTAGTTTACATGGAAAGAATTTGTTAGTTTCTGCTCCTTTATCGCAGTTCATGTTCACTTACTGAATGTGATTTTTCTATAACTCGATTCGCGGACTTTGTATGAACCATTTAGGGTCACAGAACAGGAGTAGTAGCCAGAGTTGAAGCGGGTGGCCTTGATCTGAGGAATAAGATCAGGTATTCACTTAAGGGGGGGGGGGCTGGTTTATAAACCTATCTCGGTAACTATGGCCCATTTGAATAAAGCCTTAAATAACAAGGAGGTATAACAGGAAAACATGTGTAAAATGTAACTTAAATTTTTTTTTCAAGTCTACGGTTGCCATGGAAATGGCCACCATATTGAGAATTAACTGCTTTCATAAAAGTAAAAAAGGTATTCTATTTACCAACTTCAAATTTGGTACATGGATAGATATATTCAATACATAATTTCATACGGTTGAGATCTTGGATATCTTGAATAGGAAAAAAGTTAGAGATGGATAACTGACCTACCCCTTCATGCCTCTGAAGTCCATTACATATTCATCCATGTAACTCACTCATGAAAGCATTGATTTTATTTTCTATCTGTATACAGTTAGGTTATGTTATGAATAACAAGCCTTGATCAAAAAGGAAATTTAAAAAGTCGATGAGAAAAAACATTAAAAAATGGACGTTTTGCGAAAAAAAGACATTCTATTACATAATAGGCAAAATGAAAGTTCTAGGACAGAAAATCTGAAAGATGATGATTGTAACACAAAGAGTAAGCATTTTTTAGATTTACAAGTGATTGGAGTATTATAATACGTACAAAGTCCGGACACCATAAACTGGCCAAAAATCGTCAATTTAAAACTAGCCCCCCCCCC